CCGCTAAGTTGAGTAGACGGCCAATTCACCGACACCAGGTGCGAAAGCTTAAAAAGTACTTTAACTTTTTTTCTAACGCTTGATTGAGACAGGTCCAGAACGCTTGATTTTTATACATGTTATTGGAGAGACTATTTCATAACTACGTGTGCTCAGCCAGACCAATCGCACCGTCCAAACATCCCCCCAGACGCAATAATAGTTTTTCCGTGAGTGTGAGCGCGAGGGTACTATGCATGCGTTTGAGAGTGAGCGAGATATCTATTTCCCCCTCTTAAACTTACAGTCTACTCCAGGCTAGAGTAGAAATGGGAATTTATTTACAAATAACAGTCAACTGGCCGTCTACCCAACTTAGCGAGTATACATACGTTCATAGTACCTATAAGTGCTACTCAATCCCACATATTCTGTCCTTTAGAAAATAAGTTGTGTCTGGCGGCTCTGGGCTCTTGGACTGATTTGCATTAGGTTACTGATTTCCTCTTCGGGTTTTTCTTCTATTTTATGACTTAGTCCATCTCTGTACATAAGAACCGTGACGCCCGTGTCCTTAAATAGAAAATATAACATTTGTTTGAATCTTGCCCATTCTTTTCCTAATCCCCATCCTTGTCTTGGGATAACTAATTTTTCAACAGATTTTCCTGTGATACTGGTCTTAAGTGCTCTTAGACATTTATATATATTTCTTGGAGTTGGCTTTTCTCTCATGGATTTTCTTGTAAATAGAAAAATTGCCGATTGTTTCCCATGTTTTGTTATCTCTAACTCTCCTATGGTCCCCTTTTGCCTGTTTCTAGGAAGCAAATGCATGTATTTCTTAAGAATTGCCTTTTTCGCTCTGTATTCTTGAGATACACCTATTGATAAAACGGCGTTAGTTGGTAGGGTGCCTATATTTCCATTTTCTTTTTTTAGGAAACCGCTGATCTAGTCAGTTGTTATGTTAGTGTGGCCTTTTATGAATTTGTTGAACTCCAGTTCATCTATTTTCAAATTAGGGCTAGGCTGTTTCTCTTTGACTGGCTGTTTTGTTGTGACTAGGCTCGTCATAAGTCTTTTTTCGTTGTTTGTGTGCCTAGGGTATTCTGTGTTCTCCATTTAAAATTAGTTCTTTGCGTGGGAGATCTATAATTGCCTTATTTTTTAATAAAAACTCCATTCCTAAGATAATAGGTTGTGTTTGAGATGAAATTACTTTGGCGTTCAGTTTCCCACTCCACGTTGGACTTCCTGGTATTTTTATTGGGATTCTAGTGTCTCCTAAAACTTTTATCTTATGTCCTCCTGCAGTAACTAGGACCGTGTCATTATTTTCTGATATTTCTCCCTGTATTATATCGCTGTGCAATACATTATCCTGGGCTCCTGTGTCAATTATTGCTTGCATCATTCTTTCATTGATTTTAATCGTGATGTGATGAATTCCTATTTTACTTTCTTCCCCTAAGTTTAGGATGGTTGGGGCATCTAGTTTTGCCATCCCTTGCCGTTTGGTTGTTGCCGTTGGTTCCTACATGTGGTCGCCAAATGTCCTTGTCTTCCACAGTTGTGACATACAAGACTGTTCCGGTTGCTCGGTACCGTATAGTATTGGGCCCTCTCTGGTTGGCCCCTACACACTGTTGCTATGTGTCCCTTTTTTCCACAATTTTGGCAAACAGGAACAGGATTGTTGTAATGACTTGACTGTTGTGGTGTACTTCTACATGCTTTCGCAACATGCCTTATTTTACCACAATTGAAACATGTTGGGTTTGTTCGATAATCAGCTATTGGTTGTGGGCTTCTGCAAACCGCTGCAACATGACCACATTTATAACAGTTTTGTCCTTGCGGTAATCGGCTGTAATGTGGCCGTATCTGAAAAAAAACTGTTATACCTTCTTGGCGGTGTATCTGTCTCTGGAGTCTCGTTTGCCGGTGAGGCTCTATGTTCTTTCTTCTTTGGCGCTCTATCTATTGTCCCTGCAAATTCTTTAATCTTATCCAGTGTCTGCGGAGGGTTATTGGGTGAATTCGTTAGCCAATAATAGTGGGAGAAGCTTTCTTCTGTTAATCGTTCGCTAAAGATCGTTGTAAACTCCTCAATATCAATTTTTTTCTTATAATCATGGTGCAGTACCAGTAGCTCAAAAAGGTACTCCTTTACCGTTTCATTTGTTCCTTGTTTTCTGCTTTCCACTTTCTTTTTTAGGTTTCTCTGATAATCTACCTCTTCAAATTCTTTCCTGAAGTTCTCCGTGATCTGTTGCCATCCATGATTATCGTTATCCTGTTTATATTGTTGGAACGACAGGTTGGCTGCTCCGTCCAAAAAAGTTTCAAAATATGCAATTTTTAACTTTTCGTCTCATCCGTTCGCTATAGTCGTTCTTTCGTAGGTCCATAAAAATTCTGTGGCCCTGGATTTGCATGGGTGGAAGGTCGGGGGATGGATGAACTCTGGTACCTTCGCCTTTTTTGCCGTTAACATTGCATCACTAATTGTTATATTGGCCATTGTTCCCGTTGGTGTGGTAGATCTCGGTCTTTCAGGGCTAGTTTCTCGCACAGGGCTTGTTTCCAGTTCTTGATTTGTAACTTCTGGCGGTTGGTTGACTAGCGGCTCTTGAAGGGAACCTCCTCCGTTTATACTAGTTATAGTTTCAAGACAAAAAGGTGTCCTCTATGATGGTTGTCTCTGTGTTGCCTGGACGATTTCTTGCCTGATTTCCGTGCTTCTGTGTTTTGGCCTGAATGGTGATGCCCTGTGCTTAATGATCTTAGATTATACTTCTTAGGCTCATCTTCGGACATTCGTAATAAAAAATGCTAATATTTTGTTTTTTTAGGTGCTGTAGTATTTTTTCACCAGTGCCTTTGCAGAGAAACTTCAATGGTACGTCTCGTCGAAAATGGAAAAACCAACAAAAAAAATGGTTTTATTAGAGACGCCTTCGCCATTATATCAGGAATCTTCTGCTGCTCGCTGGTTGTGATTTTTGCTTAGTGTCCTAGTTTGATAAACAATTCGTCGTCAGCATATCCGTGTCTGCTTCTAATTATCTGGGTCACTAAAATTTGCTTATAATTACATATATATTTTATTTTGTGCCTTGTTTTTTTTCCAATATGCTGACGTCAAGATTCTGCATTATTTCTTCTGTACTGCTGTTTCTGGGTCCTGGGTGCCTGGGTGTCGAAACGGCGCCTCCGCCAAATATGTCACAACCCCTATACGTTTCGTCCTGGGACTACACAACAGGAGCGTGACCTGGGGGCGTAGGTGGGGTTCAGGTAGAGAGAAACTCGCTTGGTATAGGTATAATAAGATAATGTATTGAATAATAATAATATTACCCTAGAAATAGTATGACGTCTCTTCTACGGAGGGACGTACTACTTATAGGCCACTCTGTATTATGTACCCTCTATACACTTGGCGTGACTGAAGACTGAAGCTGGGTTTGAGACAGGTCCAGAAGGGCGTTTTCCAATAAAGGTAGTTTGCACTGGACCTAGTCTGCTGCGTTCAGTGCTCCCAGAAGTAGCTAGGTTTGAGACAGGTCCAGAAGGCGTTTCCCATTAAAGGTAGTTTGCACTGGACCTAGTCTGCTGCGTTCAATACTCCCAAAAGGGCGTTCCCATTAAAGGTAGTTTGCACTGGGAGGAGACTTAGCTAGAGAGGCTTTTCCCATTTGAAGTACCTACTTTGCACTAGCCTTAGTCTGCCGGTAATGGATTTCGGCGCGGTATTTATATCAAATTAATGCTGACTCGTCGACAAACTTGATGTATAGAGTGGTATTTACTTAAGTAGTTGACATATAACTAATGTGTAAAGGTATTGTCACGGATTCCAGGTTCACTAAAATTCAACTCACTTTACAAACAGTAGCAACTTTTATAAACCAATTTGAGTTGATTTGACTGCTCACAACAAATCTCTTATTCAGACTGACTCCAATACCTACTTTCTACCACGCGCTATTTATGGTCGAAATCGTACTCCGGAATCCGAATCTATCTAAAAAACATGTTTATCGAATATAATAGAATTCCCAGAAAAGACGTGCTCCCAGACGTAAAAAACGAATTTCCTAAAATTGGGCCGGTCTCTGGAGGAAATTTGTAACAGTATATTTATCGAACAGTCAGGAGAAGAAAAGTAAACGGTGCGATAGTTATTACCACACAACTACCCTTGAACACATCCCCAGAAGATTGGCATTTGAATTATAATTATTCCAAATATTTGAAAACATTATAGTCCAGGAGGTGGCGCCAAAAACATGCAAGAGTTTTCGCAAGGCGGATATTTTCAAAATAGGTCGTACTTTAGTGCTAGAATGCTAGTGTACAGTCAGCACTCACAGTTCCGGGACAGCTGGCTCTGGGAGGCGGGCAAAGTTGTAATTTTAAGAAGCATCTGAACTGTTTTCTCAAAGCTCAAAATTTATAGAAATTTTGCACATTATCTGTTTGAAGGTCACAGATAACGTATGTAAATCGTCAGACGTCTAGTTCGTTGCAAAAAGGGGGTCAGACGTCCTCAAAGTTCTTATTTTATGACATTTTCTTCGGTGTCCTGTCAAAATATATTTTTGCAGGTATTTGACAAATATATTTGAAGAAAATGCCATAAAATAAGAACTTTGAGGACGTCTGACCCCCTTTTTGCAACGAACTAGACGTCTGACGATTTACATACGTTATCTGTGACCTTCAAACAGATAATGTGCAAAATTTCTATAAATTTTGAGCTTTGAGAAAACAGTTTAGATGCTTCTTAAAATTACAACTTTGCCCGCCTCCCAGAGCCAGCTGTCCCGGAACTGTGACTGCTGACTGTACACTAGCATTCTAGCACTAAAGTACGACCTATTTTGAAAATATCCGCCTTGCGAAAACTCTTGCATGTTTTTGACGCCAGCTCCCCAACTATTATGTATATATGCTTCCTGGGGTTAGATTTTGATTTTTGAACAATGCACGTGAGACAAAAATACAACATATAACAAACTATAAACTATTTATTATAAAACGGATTTGAACTTGGTTCTTCTCTGCTAACTTCACTGTTCCTCTCGTCTTCCAGCGCTTCCATTCTTAGCCGGACAATATCTGAATCTGTACCGGGATATCCTGACAGTTCAGTTTTGTGATTTACTTTTTCGTCTTCTGCTATGCACAGCGGACATTTTTTACAAGCATTTTGTGTTTTGATTGTCGTGTATAAAGTTAGCCTTTCTTTGGAAATCAGCAGCTTTTCTTCTGCAAGTTTTTTCTCACGATTCGATAAAGATATGGCTTGCTTTTGAAGTTCTGAAAGTTTTTCTTTGTACCTAATTTCTAAGTGTCTAGTTTCTTGTATGACTCGTCTGTCTTCGTTGGTTTTTTGTTGCACTGTGCGCTTAACTTCTTCCAAAGTTTCCTCTTTTTCTAATAGTTCCCGTTCTTTTTCCATTAACTTATTTCTTAAAAAAAAAAAAAAAAACATTTAAGAAAATTACTTTTGATATAAAATTGCACTTACCTAAAACTATCCAACTCAACTTTCTGCCGCTGAACAAAGCTCCTTTCCAAATTAAGCTTTTCAGTAAGCTCTTTAGCAACTTGTATAGCAGTCTCAGCCTCAGTCTTTACTTTCTCGACCTCATAATTGCTTACCAATTTAGCAGATACTTGAATTCTAGATTTTTCAGCTGAAAGCTTCAATTTTTCTTCCGTCAGCTGCATAGTAACTTGTTCTTGTTCGGCCAAAAGAGTTTCTTTAAAACTCTAAAATATTTACAATGAAATTATGTCTAAGATAAACCAAATATTACCTTAAGTTGTTCACGTTCTCTATCAATTGAAGCCCTGCTAAAATCCACTTCCCTATCAAAGGCAGCTGCTCTAGCTGCCAAAGTAGCTGCAGCTTGCTGCATTGCCCATCTTTCTTCTTGAGCATTTTGATTTTGTTCGGATATTTTTTGTTCTAGAGTTCGAATGAGTGCTAAAAGTTGAGAGCGATCTTTTTCAGCTTGTTCTCTGCATTTGTCCAATGCTAATCGCATAGCTAGAATTTCTTTTTCTTTATTTTCTATTGAACGTTCTCTGGCTACGCTCAAAATATTGTAATCGTTGACGATTTTTTCTTGAATGTGTTCTAACATTTCTTCGTTTTTATGTAGTTTTTCCATGCTTGAATCAAGTTTTTGGGACACTTCTGAGCTACTGGCAAATAAATCAGTTTCTCTAATTTTTTGCTCTTTGAACCGCTCAATCTGATCCAGGAACTCATCTTTCACTTCTCGTATTATTCGGTTTTGATTTTCTCTTACAATGTCTAATTCTTCTTTGTGCTTTTGGTTTAGATTTTCGATTTTTTCTGTCCAGAAATTTATTTCTTCTTTGTGTTGCGTTTTTAAGTTTTCAAGCTTTTCTGTGTGAAGTTTGGAAATGTTTTCAATTTCTTGGCTTAAGCGATGTTCTAATTGTTCGGAGGATTTTTCCATAAGTGAAATTTGTTTTTTATATGATTCCTCCATAAGGAAAAACTCTTCTTCGTGTCTTTGTTTTAAACTTTGAATTATTTTTTCTAATTGTGTGTTTTCATTTTTTTCTCCATTGTCTTCATTTTCAGTAACCTCTTTTGGAAACCTTTTTTCTCCTTCAAATCCCTTTAAAGTTAACATTCTTATGTGATCATTGATTCTTTCTTGTTGTCCCAACATTTCTTCTTCAATATCTTTTTGCTTTTCAATGTATTTGTTGAAGAATTTATCAAACTGATTTTCCTGTTTCCTCAATATTTCTTGTTGCTGATTTTTGATTTCGGATAAATTCTCTTCGTATTTTTTCAGTTGAAGTGAAACTAGCAAAAATGATTCTTGCGTTTGTAGATTGGACATGTTAGTTTGGAAATTGGTGGCTAATGTAGCAGATTTTTCCATTTTAGACTCTTTCGCTTTTTGCACTTGTTCTTCTTGATGTACATCTGTATCAGAATCTTTAATTTCAGTGGATATGGTAGTTTCTGATTTACTAGTTGTTGTTGCGCTTCTTCCTAGCCAATCAGGAACGTCATGAGCCAAACCTCTCACTACTGGCGTTACTTTAGTTTCTTCAATACTTGGTTTTGATAAAAACTCACTGGAAGCTGATCCAGATGAACCAAATAGGCCTAGCATATCAGTGACTCCCGTTCCCGAACCCATCCTGCCACGTCTGGATCCTACAGGAGGTTCTAAAATCACGTTTAAACTTTCAGTCTTAGCAAGGGGCTTTTCCAGAGAGCCTGGACCGCTTCTATCCAAGCTACTTGGTCCGCTCCTTTGAGCTTTACTCTCTTTAAGTATGTCTTCAAAAGAAGTGGTTTTAGCTTGTTCGTTTCGTCGGCCTCTTTGAGGCAATATATCATCTAGGAGATCAAAGGACTTTTTGCTATCAGATTTTGTATCATCAAAAATATCGGATTTTGGTTTAGGAGCTTTTGCTGATGGTAATGGGTCTTTTTGTGTGTCATCAGCAGTACCCAACCAATCCAGATTTTTATTTTTTGATGTTTCTGGCGCGGGCTTTTCAGGTGGTGTGTCTACATTGAAACGGACCTAAAATAAATCGAATGAGATAAGAATTGTAAAATCCACAACTGATTCTTGACAGAATGACGAGATATTTGTTATTTTTGTATTTGACGGAATGGCTTTATATTATGTAGCAACCATCATTTAAAAGAAATTACTAAGACATTTGTATTGTATCTAATTTAGCTTATTACATTTTGCAGAAATTTAGAGTGCTGAAATATTTACTTCTTTTTTATACCTTGGGTTTGTCTGATACATTTTCAAAACTGTTAGGGCCACTCTTCTCCGATTTCTTTCCATCTTCAAAGCCAAAAAGGTCTTCTAGAGACTTTTTGTTGGCAGTTTTTGTTGGTTGAGATTTTTTCGCTACTTTAGGCTCGTCGAAAAAACTATCGTCCGATTCGAAATCATTGTCCAAACCAAAATCTGCCATAGCTTAACGAATATTGGCACTAGAACTGTGAAGTGAAATTGTGGAATTTAAGTTAACTTGACATTAATATTAGTATTGTCATTGATCAAAACAGTTTTCTAATGGCGTTGTTGATTATTTTTATAGGGGAAAGTTCTCTGTAGCAGGGGGGTTTCTACGGAAACAAAATCCGAAAGCAATACAAACATAAAGGAGATTTCTAGCAAAGTCTTTCTATGAAAAAATTGGTTTTTCTCGTTGAAGAGTAATTACCTATAACACTGTCAGCTTAAAGTTTTAGGGTATGATAAATGATAATCAAGAGAGTACCATTTCCATTTGAAATCCCAATGAAGGGTTAAAAGTAGAAACAATATATTACCCTTCCTCTTAAATATGGTGCTTCTATAAAATTATATTATCAAAATTTGTTACAGTTTCGCATTTATTCTATTCTAAATTGTCAACCCTTTTGGATTAATTTTCTTTGTTATACACATCACATAATATTGAACAAACTATAGTACCTACTTTTTTATCAAAAAATTAATATTCGTACCTACCAAATATTCTTTCTGCAATTTTTTGTAAATAATGTAGGTAACCTATACCTGCGCGCTGTTAGTAATGTTAAGGATGAAGAAACTAGTCACCCATAGACCCACCCACATAGTTACTTCGACCCATTTGACCCCTGATCTTACCAGCTGCCCTTACCATTGCCCGTTGCATTGCATAACTTGGCTCTTTTGTTGTGATTCTAGAGTCAAGAGTCACCTTAGGCGAAAACCGTTTTTTCGACCGGTTTTGTCTATAAGCTGCTATACAGGGTATACCTATCTATTCGTGGCAATAATGCGACGTATGTTTAAAGAACCATAGCAATCTTTGATTGTTTTTTTTTTAAGACCCGATATGTTTCCCGTATTTAAAATTTACAAAAACCAATAAACAAATGTGTTGATTATTTAAAGAGTTCATAGTTCTTGATTATGACATCAGTCTTACAGGGTTTACATAATAATAATTTATGTCATTAATTAAAATCAAAAATTTTATGAACGTATTAAGCATTTTACAGTTATAGTCAAAAGTTAAAGTATAGTTATGTACTAATTATAAATCATGTCAAAATATTCATAAAGTCTGTTTTTTTTTTAAAGATAAAAGTCAAAATGACATTATGTTGGCAATACAATGTAAAATTGTCATTGCTTTCAATTTTTTTATGTAGGAGAGGCTTGTGTTGCCAACATAGTTACTAAATTTTTGACTTGGGGAATTATCTTTAAAAAAAAAAAAAAACTTTAACAAAAATTGAAATAAACAAAAGTTTTACAAGAATCTTACATGAATTTCACAAGATAGCGAATTATTTATGTGAAACTTCCCTAACTTTCCTGTTAAATTTATTTGAAAATAGAGAAATATGAAGCCCATATGGTCGCAAGAAGATATGGCGAATCAATGATGTTATTAACAATTTTAAAGTGTTGAGATGTCAAAAATTTTCTTCTGCTTTCCAAAGGCGTTAAATTTAAAAGTCTCATTATCTCATTACAATTAATTTCCTCATATAAGGAATTCCCAATTTAAATCCAATTCTCTTTAGAAACCTGTGCTGGACTCTTCCTATTTTATCTTTGTGTATGGCATAATGAGGATTCCATACGCAACTTGCATATTCAAGAATTGAACGAATCAAGGTACAGTATCTACATTTCTCTAAAAGAAAAAATGTTTTCAAACCATTTCAGAGTTCGAAAAACAAAACCAAGAAGACCCAAGGCCCTATTGCTAATAATTTCTATATGGTTATTAAAATTATTAAGTTCAGAATCTAACCATACTCCAAGATCTTTGATAAGACTTTGCCTTTCTAGTGGTTCAGAGTCCATATTCAAAAAGAACAGAACTTTCTGTTTTGCAAAAAGTTACAATCTTGCATTTACCTACATTTAATTTTATATTACTAGTTTTGCACCATAGAGAGAATCTATTTAGATCAATGATTTAGATCTTCCTGCAATAGCCGACAATCATTTGGAGAATTAATAATTCCAAAGGCCTTCAAGTCATCAGCAAATAAGCCAAGAAACTAGCAGCAATAATAAAAACAATAAAAAAGAATGTTGAGAGATGCCCACCTTATGTCGTACACCAGAAAGATGTGCGCATATCCTGTAAAAGAAACATTTTTACCGAAAAGTTTTAGAAACGTCGGAAGTTCGAAAGCAATAGATGCTTTAGTCCAGAAAGCGATGAATTTTCTACAGTTCTCTTGAAAAAATCAACACCAGATCAGTATTTATGCCGACAAATATCTCACCGGCACTGGATTATACTTAACAACACACTTCTTATTGTGAATTTGTCACGAATGCAGTTTATTCATTCCCTATTTGGGAATTGACCTAATTTTCTTATGGACCATGGATAAGTGAATGAGTCCAAAAGGACGTAACGAATGAAGGTCTGGCTGGGGAAGGTTGCTCCAGCACAGTATGATCCCATGTTTCCAGATATTCAGTGCTAGTTTCTAGAAAAGGTACACTTTGCTTCGATTGACATGAAGATCTCATTATTATGTTGAGGCTTTGAAAAAACAGGCCTTGATTTCTTCAACATTGTTCCTTTGGTGGCTCCAGGGATAATAAATAATTCATCAAAATATGAGTGAGCCTTTGGACAAGCAATACAAAATACAATACAAAAATCATTCCATGCTGTAAACAACACAGATAAAGAATTAAATTAAAACCTAAGAAATTATGTGCTGTTTTTTGTGCTAGGATTTTGATTTTTGGATTTAGAGCGTGCATTAGGGCCTTGTTGAATTTACTAACATTTTTCCTACCCTGACCAGAGAATATTCTAGCAAATTGAAATAATCCATCTAGAGATATTGGCTCAAAAACAACTATAGCTGAGTAGCTTTCCGTATGGGACCTCAGTACCTGCTGGGAAACTGGCTTACTAACAAAAACACTATTCAGTATTGAATACAGGTAGTATTGATTGAATGTAGTGTGTGTAATTGAAATTTTAGTACAAGAACTGGGGCGGTACCTAATTTAAACTTTTATTGACTTAAACTATTGAATTATTCAATCACAATTATCATAAAAAATGACACAGTGCTTCGATTTTTGAGGAATGTTAGATCGAGGGTTTCTCTGCCGTGCTCTTTCCCCTCGCTACTTCCACGATGAGAACGGTACGATTTACTTAAATAATAACGTAGACGTTTCACAAATTTTTCGTTTCTATTACATATCACAACTTCCCTTAAATTTCCCAAATATTTGCTATGTCGGGCATGTCCAGTAAGTAAAATTGAGTAATTTTCCACAACGTACGTCCTATTTTTTTTTCATTTCGTTTTTCAGAAGATTTGTTGTTTAAAAGGTAATAAAAAGTCACACCGTTCAATCTTGCTGTACGAATCCGGGTATCTTATACTACAATATCCAAGACAAGAAGAGGAATCACAAGGACAGAAAGAACAACCAGACAAAAAGCCCGGAGACAAAAAGAAAAACAAGAAAACTTTCCCTAGGCATATATTTGGATTAAAATTGCACTAAAAAACACAAAATTGACCAATATTCCTTGAAAGATGTTTCTATTTAATTTTTCATATGAAATATGGAAAAAAATATTTAAAATAAGAGTAAAATTACATTTGCTAGACATTTTCTGCAATATTTCACTTCCTCTCAATCAAATTCTATCCAAAATAAGCGTAAAATGTTACCTTACAACCTTATGAAGCCAAAAGCAGACAAAATTGCATTAAAAACAACAAAATTGCTCAAAGTCTTAACCCGAAGCCGAAGATAAAAAAAAAAAAAAAACAAAAAGAGGAAGCTTAAAGACGAAAAGCAAAACAAGAAGAAGATAACCAAAAACAAAAAGAAAGACAATAAGAGAAGCCCAAAAACAGAAAGTTAGGGAGAAGAAGAAGCCCGAAGACAAAGAAGAACAAGACTAGCTTCAGAGAAATTTCAAATTCAGCGAGAATAAATTGAAATGGAGCAACACGAAACTGAAGAAAAAATCCTGGCAGGGCAAAACAATAAAATTAGAAATGCAATGGAAGAAGTAGGTAAGTACAGAAGTTGGGATTATTCATCAGGAAGCTGGAACTTTCCTTCCAGAAATGGATAGGAATCAAATGGGGTTCAGAACAAAATTGAATAGTTGAAACGTGACTTGAGATTAAGAAGTGTTTCAGCTTAACTTCGCCTGCAACCGTAAGTAAAATCAGTTCGAGACTGTTGCAATGACTAATGGCCATCAGAGCTTCAATGCTACAGGCTTGTAGTATAGCCTGGGCCTTGCCTTGGACCCATTAAAGACTCTTCCGCTAGCTTCCCAATGCTGCCCAAACTTCAAAATGCGTTAAAACATCGTTATGAAGAGCAATATCCACAGCAGCTTTTACCAGGTACCCATCTACATCTAAAAACAAGACAACAGAAAATTTACGAGATATCCGCTGTTAATTTGGCCTACCCTGAAGTAACATCAAAAATGCGAGAACAATGTAAAATTTAAACGTAACCAATGGAATTCGAAATATGAATATACAGAGAATGCTGCTCATAATGAAAACATCAAATAGCAGCGCCAAAACCCTAGAAATCCTGCATGTCAAACCAAATAGAGCTGTGTAAATATAAGAAGAAAATGAATCAATAGGAGAATTGAAAGACACAGAGGGATTTGTGGAAGAAATACGAAATGCTGTTACCAGAATCAAACAACGAGACCCCGAATGTGACCGCTGCGGAAGAAGAGGGACTTTTTAAAAGAGATTGTAGATTATAGCTGAGATATCGCTATACCTTTCTGATCACTCAAAGCCTTCGATTGGGAAGTTGCAACTGTACGATTTTCAAATCAAACATGCAGGCATACATGGCCAGTTCAGGGCAAACACCGCTCGAGAATTAATCAGCAATCTCTTCGTTTCTGAATCCTTCAAATTGGAACGGATTTCCAAACCATTGTGGAACCTCAAGGAAACCCGCAAATTGACATCGA